CTATTCAGAGCTTCTTTCAAGGAGGAAAAAAAATTTCTAAGTGAATAATGAAGATCGCACTTGACATGTGACCCACTGAACAGCCATCAGTCGACGGCCGTGTTGAAATCGCGGCATCCTCCTGCATCCTGTCGCTCCCTAGCCCGTAGGTTAGCCAAACACATATCTTTGCGTATACGAATCAATCTTATTTTCCCTGCTGCACTGCAGAGAAAGGGTCTTCCAAAAATGAAGCATAGCGTTGGAATCTTTAAATCTTACGCTATCGAATGATTACCAATAGCCTAAAGAAAGAGCTCTACTTGCGAAATAAACGAGTGTGTAAAGTACAAATGCTGTCTTATCGTCAAGGCGTTATAAAAAGGCCTTTACGAGAAAGGGCCCGCGTACCGTGCTAGCCAGCGATTTAAGCTTTCCAATGTTTACTGATATTGTCACGAAAAGTTTTTGTTCATCGAATGGGGTCGAATATTTATTTGCCGCCGTTTAACGGGAAAGTGTTTTTTACAGACTCGATGCATACGTCGTCGACAGGTTGACTAGTAGCATGAGCCCAGATATCTCAAGAGTTGTTGCCGTACTATGTTAAGGACAATGCATCTTCCGATTCAGAAGCTATTCCTATGACGAAGCTCTGGCATGGCTTTCCGGAGATTCGAACAGAAGTGACGAGTGATGTCTTAAGGAGTCATAGTGAAGCTGTCGCATCAGCTGGTATAACACCTATAGATGTCAGATCCTTTTTGGTGATTGAGTTAGTTTATAGAAGTTTTTTCTAGACCTTTCGTAATGAATCGGTACTTTGTCCAACGTAGATTCTGCTGTCGTCGCATTTAACGGGGAAAGTTCTATCAATATCTTGCCACTTAATGCTATTTTTGAACAGAGACTATTGCTGCTGAAGAGAGTTTGCGCCTCAGAGAATGCGACTTGTGAAAAGATTGAGATGCCTCTGCTTTACGACCTGAATTGCTTCATTTTTGACATGCCATTCGTTGCTTCTATTTTCCATTCGTTGTAATAACACACGGGTTTTTTCCTGTTTTGAAAGAATGTAAAGATTATCAGGCAAACATTATAATATTTTCTGTATAACCTACACAACTTTATCAAATACTCACATCATATTGCATACTATACGAGTGTTTTTTTTATCAGGCACGAGAGTTGTATAAATGCCACCGTAGACATGGGAAGGTGTATAGATTAGCATGGAGCACAGGCTAGGAGTGGTGCAAAAATTTTCCAAAACGCAGACTTAAAACCGATCTATAGAACAAAAATCATGAAGAAGAGGCGCGTTTACGTAATTGTTGGAGCGAGATTGGTATGACATTCGCAGGTACTCAATAAGCATAGCGAGAAAGTTGCCGTCCACTCCGCAGGAAGACCGAAATTAGATGCTGCTGCGAGAGTGTTACTAAGTAGAAAACTGTGGATAGTGGATTTTAGCAGATCCCATACAAGAATATCCTTCATGAATTACATTTGCAAAAGGTATCCAAAGAAAAGAAAGAATTTTCGATGCTCTGTGAGGAAGTCATAAAAATATATCAACATCCAGGTCCTTGCCTCTAATTCATGTGCAATTCTCTACGTTCATCACGAAGACTCGCGAAGACAGATGTAATGCTTAATGAGCTTAGAGAGCCAGCAAGACCACTGGGTTACTCATGCACGCGACAGAGATAAAGAACCTCTCAATTCGTCTGTCGTCCTCGCGCAACTCGAACGGGCTCCAGCAAGCCTTTCATTTTCGCTGTTGCGTGCAAGAGGATCCTAGTGGCTTCTCCTTGCTTGGAATTGCTGAGTATCACATCTATCTTTCTGTGTAATCGTGAAGAATTCTGACTACCGAATCGGTGGCCTTCCCGCTGTGCGTTTGACACCCCAAGGAATCCAGTCGACGACAATTTCGCCCACCTGTTGTGATAAACGATAAAAAAGATTAAAGTTATCGGCTCTGATTAATTCCTAAGGAATGCACCACGTATTCTTTTCTATTAAGTAATGTTAGAGGTGACTTATACATATCTATCCTGTAAAATAACTGGAGGATAACTAGCCGTGATCAACCGTACCTGAACCCAGTGCGGCTATTCTCCCGAACAAGTCTAATACTTATTTGCCAAATTGCAGCTTTGTGAGCCTGAGACGCGGGATCTGACCAAATGACTACGTATGCTGTAGTACACCTCTAACTTGTGTACTACAGATACATTAGTTCGAGGTGCTCTTCAGGAGTTGCTGGTGCGAATACTATAAATGACCAGAATGAGACAAATAAAAAATGAACATTGCTGCTAAACTTGTGCAGTTCAACCATTATTATATTCTTTAAGACATTTTAGACACGAATTCAACAAAGATCTCTTAGGCTAAGAAGGAAAGAATATTTGCAAATTGATTTCGACTCTGCTACAGCATAAAAGATGTCTAGGAAATCATTGATGAAGTTCATTTCAAAACTGATTAGCTCGTGAAATGGATTGATTTCTATGGTTTCGAGTATACCCTACCAATGAGAGCAACTCTTGGAATCGTTTCCTTTTAGCTGGAGTGAAGATGTGAAAATTCTTCTCAGCTTAGGAGACATAATAGGTAGATCCGACCATTGCAACACATTGTAACTCGACGCGTCTCGACGTTGGAGGGGCTACGATCCATTAGCCGCCAGGTAACGTGAGGTTAGGGAGGGAAGAGGAAGTGGGGGGAGAACTATTTGCTGTAGCAAGTCACACCAAATCTTTGCCTTGAAAACAAATAATTATCGGAATTCCTACAGGCAAAATAGCCTAACAAATGCAACTATCACATTCATCTTTTGCAAGTTCAAATAAAGTCTCACTTTGTTCTCAATGTAATCGATGACATTTACGTTTAAAAATCTCTTTACTGGACAATAAAAAATATTCAAAAAATAGTAAGAATGAAGCGTTAATGATTCGATACTCTTTCACTGAAAGCCGAAACGGCAGCAAGCGTTATACTGGACACATCTTGTTAACATCCTCGTGTCTGCTCATTAAGAAGGCAGCTAAATAGCTGATCAATGTTGAGATTAACAAATAGTCGGTCTTAGAAAATTACTGTAGGATATAGAACAGTGGTTATACAATCATCACAATAAACAGATAGAGCTGGTTCGATCTAGTCTTCGGGAACGCCAACTATTCCATGCATCTATGGTTGAGGTTGATTTCGGTCTTAAGGAAACAAATGAAAAATCGACCCATTTTCTCTGGTAAGGAATTTTCATAAGATTGTTAGCAATCCTACGAAAACCTAAATCTCTGGCTACAGAGCCATGTGATCATTTTTTGAAAAGACTTTTTTATAACGCTGTAGCATACAAAATAAAATTATTTTTAACACCCGCCGCAAGCTTCCATTTTTATCATGCGTATAATTCGCTGGAAGCACGAAAACATATAAACGTATTGCGAAAACCTGTAGTATCGAAGTGAATGAATTTGCCTGAAGTTTCTTTCAAAGCGAAGGAAAAGATCCCAATTGAATAACAAGTTGCAGCTCCTATATGTTACGGTCAGGGCGTCGATCGATTTCCCCGCCACAGCCCGTAGGTTATTTGGTAAACAAGCCCACCGAATATGTGAAGCTTGGTTTTTTTTCTTGTTACATTGCAGTAGAACGGTATTTTCTAAAAATAAGCACATCGTTGAAATCGTTGGAATCATTGAAACTTTTGCTATAGAATGATTGCTAACTGTTTAAGAAAACGCTCTGTCTGGCGAGGAGTAGAAACATAATATTTTCCTTCTCCCATAGCGGTATAAAAGAGCTTTTCCAAAGAGCAGACATATTCCTGCGTTCATTGAGACTTGTGCTATCGAAAGAGTACTACAATCTGACAAACGAGTTTGTCACGCGAAATATAAACGAGATAAGAAAAAATGCGTGGTCGCGTGAAACGTAATTTTATTTTGGATTATACAACGTTATAGAAGGGTATTTCTAGAACCAGCCTTGTATCGCGCTAGCCAAAGATTCAGGCTTTTGAATGATTCCTAACACACCTATGAGAATGCTTGTAAATGAGAGTGCATATTCAATTATTCTCTTGTGACCGAAAAGAACTATAGTCGAAGAATTCGTACCACACTTCCGTACGGGAAAAGTGGAAGAAAAGTAGCACTGAGCTGATACGTCGGCTTCGCGTCACGAGTGGTATTTTATTTCGGATATGAATCCAGTTAACCTGTACGATGTTTGACAAACACAAATGCATCGAGAACCGATTACTGATTGATTAACGCCAAATATTTCATCCTTTGCCCTTTACAAACTGTATGACCTGTATCACTAGTAATCCAGTAGAATATCAGATAACACAAACATACATCTCTTTCGAAGTCTGTGTTCTATTTCCAGCTTCTCTCGCAGTTCAGTTGTCTAGGGTGGTCAGCTCTATAGAGAGTCAAGAAAAACACGATGTGTATCCCTTCATGAGGCTATCTGGTCCGTTGACTAATACCAGCATACCTTTAGGGGCATGTTGGCTGCTGCTTATCCTTTGGCTTTAGACGCTATACATCTTTTGCTCTTTCATGCTTACCAGTAATTCAAGTGCACTTTTGGTCAGTTGACGAATAGGATGTTATTCGCGTGCACGAAAAGACATCGCTTCAATATCATTTGGGACAAATTAAAGGCAATGAGTAGTCACATGCGGAAGTATAAAGACAATGAGACGAAGTGGCTTGGAAGAATGTAAAACGTGAAGTCGTCTAAGATTCACAAAAAATTATTGTTGCTTTTCTTTTGTGTTTAACTTGAATACGCTATTTGAACAGTGAAGCCTTGGGACTAACCGGATCGCTATACTTCACAAGAAAGGGTTCGATTATTCAATTGAACAAGGAGCTCCAAATATTCTGATTTCATAAACTACTATCAAAGAATTCCTTTCTATTTAACCGGTTTTAACGTGATATGATTTTATAATTATACTCTTTGATGTAGAGTGATGTGCAGAACTTTGCATCAGGTGGGACTCGAACCCAAATCTCACCTGTCCGAAGGCGCGTGGTCGAACCATTGCACTACCTATGCCTATTTTCAGATCACTTTTTCTACGCAACAACGCATCTATCTGTCAGCAACCAATCGTCAGCCGAATGGCACTGGTAGCCGCTATCGACATTGATCTCAATCACGCTGACAGATATTGGGTATTAGATGATGATCAAGCAGATTTCCTTTTCATTTCACAGCTTCTAGAGGTGTTGTGATGTTATAGATACACCCGCTAATGTTGAGTGATGTCCTGCTCGATCAGCTATTACCCAATATCTGTCAGCGTGTATGGGTTCAATGACGATAGCGATTATCCGTACCATACCGCTGACGGTTGATGGCTGACAGATAGATACGTTGTAGCGTAGAAAGAGTGGTGTCAAAGCAGGTGTCAGAAGTGCAAACAGTTCCACAACGCGCCCCTGCAATAGGGTAAAATATGCCTTCGAGTCCCACCTGACGCAAAAGTTTTGCACATCACTCTACACCATCGGGTATATTTATAACATCTATTAAGGTTTACGTAAATTTAATGACTGCAGAGGAAAAATGCAGGTTCGCTAGTGGCACATTGAAAATTTAGCCGATCAGCAGCAGACTAACAGATTTTAAAAATCTACGATAGCATTTTATTTTGCGAAAAATCAATTTTGAAGGTCGAGAAGGAAAGAAGAGATTACAGTTGGTCAGAACTACAAGGTACAACGAGTTTAAGTTTCTCAAAATGACCGTACTTGTGCACACAGTTTCATTTTTCCCGCTACAGCCTTTCTGAAATTAAGTACATCTTTGAAATTACCAAGATTCGGGCTTTCGAATAATTGTTGATATTATGAGGGATAAGCTCTGTCTTGTGAAAAATCCGCGCGAAAACTCACGATGCGTGTGAAATACTATTTTATTTTTACTGCTACAGCGCTTCAAGAAGGCCTTTTCAAAAAATAAGTGGCATTTGGATTTACAACGATTCAAGCTTCCGGAAGAATACCAATGGCCTAAATCCACTACCGAGTGAAAGAGGACTCTTTAAAAAACGCTATATGAAAACGGATGTGTTGTAATTTTTCTCGTAAACTCAAGAGAGGTGGGCGACTGAAGAACGATAGTGTACTTCAGCAACGAACGACGGCTCATGGTAGTCCCCCATAAATGATGATCTTTATAATTTTAGGTGACTACAGGTGAGACTTAGATATTGATAAATTGTCACAAAGGACTTTCTGTTGTTAGACGATGTTCAAAAATGTCGATACTCTAACTTCAATGTCATTTCTCTTTGCTTTCACAACAGGATACAAGAGCCCATACAGACCACATGATATCTTGACTCAAATAATGATTATGAGATATATCTTTGCTTTCTCTTACATCATCCATCATTCATTTCCACTTTGATTCTTCTCTTCCACACATGGAACTCTTCAATGCGTTCTCAATATCTGTACATACACCCGTCATTCAATTAAATTCAACAGTTTCAGAGCAAATTAAATCAAAGCTAAAAAAATCATTATTAAATCTTGCTACGGTAATACCTGTATATATTGACATATGGTATAACAGTGATGAATATCGTTAGGCATACAGAGCTTATGCAGCATTATTAAACACTGTAGAATTTTTGAAGAGTTACAGAAAAAGCCGAGTAAACATAGTTATCAATCTCGCGTTAGTCGAAAATCAAAAAAATTATTTGATAATCTAATAAAATGTGTTGAGCATTTCTTGAGGTCTGGCATGGCACTATACAGTACTAGACACCTGTTTCGCCTTTCCAGTTTCATCAGTAGTAATGTGCCTTTCGATTCAGCCAACCCCTTGCAAGGGGATATACCTCCTATTTGTAAAAGAATCGAGGAAGAATTATTCAAATTATCGCATGTCGAGTGACAAAATCTTCTTTCAATCCCAAGAAAAAGACTTGAAGCATGTTATTAGATTATTAGATTATTATTGTTTTTGAGCGTTGTTTATATAAATGGTCGAAAGTGAAGGTATAAAAAGTTATTGACCATTCACACCGAGGCTAAATGAAAGTCGGCATTGTGGATTTTTCTGCGCTGCACGCTGACTAATCTTCAATGACTGCCACAGGATAAGTTGTACGAATTGTTACCAGTCAATAATCAGTCTCAAGAAGCTATCTTTTTTATAAGTGGATTGCAAAGTATCTCACACGAGATCTGTCCAAACTTGATGAGCCTCCATACACATCGCTTCTACCCATTTCTCTACGCGTTTCACACACTTAAAAAAACACAATAAATTATAAGCACTTACATAACAAACATAAACACTTGAACAGAAACACAACCTTTTGAGTAAGAATGTGGGAAAAGGCTGTTTTCGTACACTTCCAAAGCACACCTTGTGATTTTGAATCTAGGTCTGATTTCCAAAAGGCCTTCACGTAGTGGTGCAAAAGCGAGAAGCAGATCAAGTTTCACCCACAAAGTTTTTTTGAAGGTAAGTTTCATATGAATCGAAGCATATGAGCATTTGAGCGTGTAGGGAAAATGGTGGAGTATCATAGCAGCACCATAAACCTATAGTTTTTTTCCAGAATTTTCTTTATTAAAGTCATGAAAATCTCGCACGTCTTGCAAATCACGCTGCTTTATCCATCAGCTGCCGTCCCGACTGGGTTGATAGTTCAACGCGTAGGGTTATAAGCTCTATAAGATCAAAAAAGAGGGGAATCAGGCTTAGTACATTCTTGTACATACTTTTCTCTAAGTGATTTGTAGCACTATTCAAGCAACGTTAGTGCCACACCTACCAATTCCATCCACCAAATCCCCATTACGAGAGGAATCTATTATGAAGATCTGCCAATTGCACATCACTGAAGACTCTGAATTGTAAAAAAAATTGTCAACTTGAAAGTTAAAGCAAAACAGAGTAGCGGTCGTTTTCGTTCAGTGGTAAAAAATGTGATTAGCCATCCTATGGGGAAATCCTTTAGTTGTCCATTACAAAGCCATGGCAGCGATAATGAAATGTCAAACGAAGACTAAAGGCCTAATTTACTTCTTCTCAGGTAAAGGTGAATTCAGTGTATTTTTCTGCTTTACGTGTGAAAGAGTGTCAATTACCTGCTTTGGGTATTGAACATATTCATGATAGAGAACATTGATCTGCATCCTTAAACGCGAATTGTGCAATCAACTTAGCCAAGTGCCCACAATCAAAAGCTTGAAAAATCGGAGATTCCCTCAAACTCACCTCTGAGATTTATTATCTTCAAAAATTCACAGTCCATCTTTGACTATGGTCAATCCAGAAGTCATAGTCTGAGGACCTCCTCATGCATTCTAATAGCTAAGCCAGTGAGAACAAAAGACTATACCAGAAAACATAAAAGGACCGGTGGAACTTCACTAAGATCTTTTCTTCACTTATTCAAACGACTGTTATCTCGAACTAGAAGGCAACTGCTACGAAATGTGAGCGGTCATCCGTTGATGCCAATCGTTTTTGTCCAGCTCAGACATCAGATTGTAATGAAAATAAGACTGAGATCATGTAAAGTCTTAGGCAAGTTCTATAAAGGTAGGCAGATCTTTCATTACGACACCAATGCCCAGGAGGACGCTTGAAAAAACTTAACTCCAAAACCTACAGATTGCAATTGAGTATGCAGTGGGGTGAGGGCGCCGTGGTCGAGTGGTTGTAATGCTCGTCGAGGCTCGAATAGAGCCGAACTCCACCCCCACTGCTCCCCGGCGGTCCACAACAACGTCCTATGAAACGCCACAGCAAGGCTATCCTCGAGTTTGCGAGGAGACTCGCTCAACCAGTATTCTACGCCATTCAAGAAGATGACGAGAAACGAATTGAATACTAGAAGTATTGGGATCCGCACAGTGAATAAAAAAACTATGATGACGGATCAAATAAACTGCTAATCTGCTGAAAGGTAGGGGCGACGGCGTGATTGTAGAGTGGTGAGCACAATCATTCATGATGGCTGACAAAGAAACGCTCCACTCCGACTAGGATGGAAATTTCTCAAGAAAGGTTCCGCAGCAAAGCATTGCAGTCATGATGAATTGGAAGCTCTGCCTAATACTGCCACTGTTGCCCTAAAGCTGTACACGCGATTGTATTACATTAGGAAATTTATTCTAGGAAAAGAGAGCAAACATCAGTGCTCAAATAACGAGATCCCCGAACCATCCCAAATTGAGATTTGCTAAAAATTTCATTCGGTTTTCGAACACGTAGCGTTAATGGCAACATCAGTGAGGGAAACACTCCTACCCAGCACCTTCACGATAATGAGAAAATGTCGAGAATTTGAAAGCCACCAAAAAGGTTTCAACTACAGAAATCTTGTAACTAATATAAAGGTATGATGTTGCGTGAAAGCAAAGGAACGCAAATAATGTAGAATTTTCAAAAGCACCATAGAGACGCAATAAGAAGCAGGCAATCATGAATAAAAAAAAAAGAAGAAACAGCATTGACTCAGCAGGAAGAAGAAGCAGCAGGTTCCATAAACCCTCCGACTTTTTGCCAATTGCAAAGCTAGGATTTTCTTCATCTGTAGCTCACAAATAAGGCTTCCGGATGTTCTTATACGTTTGACTTTTCGTTCGAAAACGCCTCAGACTTGAAATTGAATTTAGTTTCAACCTCCTCCGAAGAAAAGCTTCCCACTCACATAAAAAAAATGAAAGAGATTCATTGAGAAGTCACTTTCACAGATTAAGCAGGAAAATTGAAGCAGTCACTTTCACAAATTAAGCAGGAAAATTGAAACAAACCTGCTAGGAAGGCGACAAACATATCCTCTAATATACAATTGTGGGCTAATAATATTGAATTCGAACCCACTAGTACGGTCGATCCGGGACATTATGAGAAAAATCTTGTCAAACCAGCAACATCATCTTTCACACTTTGCTATACCTTCTATTCGAAAACCATTATTCGTTGCTACATCTGTTGTTCGAATCCCATCTCTTTTTGGATACAATTTCTTTCCATATGGGAACGCCTTAGATTGGCGATCCCCAGTTTCGAGAGAAGCT